TTGAATGGTAACTATATTGAAAGAAATTGAGAAAAAGAAATATTCTCAAAGGGTGTCCCTGACAACAATTGAAAGTAGAAAGAAAGCATTTATTGACATTTAAAAAGGGAGTAGAATTAAATTAAAAATATGACATTGATATATGAAACCAAAACCACCATTCATCTATCATAAAGCATCCAATTCATTTCGTTTTTTTTATTATACCATTTTCTAAGTAGGAAAAGAGAATTACACCCTCTAAATACTTCAAAAACCATTGGTCAGAACATCTAAGGCACATGCCCCGTGATAAGCAGCCATCAACTTTGGAATATATTATTCATCACAATGTAAACCAATACTTCTTTAATGAGTATTTCCGTCATAGATGTCCAAAGCACATGTCACCAGGCACTACCTTTCAAAATTCCACATTTAACAAAAGTTAAGGTGCATGATTATTTAATCCCCTGATAAGATCATTCTCTAATCACATTGTACCCATTCATGTTATTTTATTCACACGCAACCATGTTATCCATTATATTTTATCAAACAAATCCTTCTTTTTCCAAGCCAGCTATATATTTTTTATCTCAAATCATGTTGTATCAAGCCAGGCACAACTACTCATAACACCATTTAAAATTAAATACATATAAATATATAAAAGTTAATTGAAGAATTATGTATAACAAAAAGGGTATCACGACAACTCAACATGGCACATTAACTTATTCAACAACTAAATTTTGTAAGTCTTAGGATTTCTATTCTTTTAATCTTTTGGTTTTTGGGAAAAGGACAAGCTTCGGCTGGACAGACAAAAGGTTCATGTGTTACTACAACAAACTCTTCGACCGTCAAGCAAACCCCCACGCACCGCCCCATTTGACTTGACTGATCAGAAGCACCCCATGTTAGCATTTACCACTAAACTAGGAAAGGAATTACTAAAAGCAATTATTTTCAACCTCTTAATGATCACCCATTTTTAACCGTATAGGTCCACGTCAACTTTATTAAAGGTGTCCTGGGACTGCTGTAAAGTGATTGTACCTTATATTTACAAACGTTGTACCACGAGGCTCTGTTCTGTTTCTTTTTTATTTAAACCGTAAAGGCATTTTACTCGTGGGTTTTCCTGTTGGCGCAAAACCTTTCCTAACCCACGCCCCCTATCCCTCCCCTTGTTTGGTTACCAAGAAAATTGAGCACATCAAGAAAATATAATCACTCAAAAAAATAGAAAAGAAATATATACATATATATATATATATAAAGAAAACTAATTCCTAAATACACGCAGCTTAGCTCGACAGGCAACTAAACAGTTTCAACTCTCAAGTTTCTTTCATCTAAAAAAGTTATAAACTTGATAAGAAAAGGCATATTCAAACATAAGAGAACCCAGACAAGAAGATTTTATGAAGTTTCAGTCAGAAACACCAACTTTTATTGCATATTTTACTTATTTAATTGATTAATTAGGGAAGATATTGGGAAAACGAAAGAGAAAACGAAACAATACCTGAATCCTTAAGCCCTTCACAGGCCTCTTCTTTAACAGTAACTGGAGCATGTTTTGAACCCAAACCCATGAAATCTCTCTCCATATCTCCAAACCAAAAAGGATAATATTGATCTTGTAGAGGTCAAATATAACGTAAAAGGCAAACCCGAAGACGAATGAAAAGCTCTCTCTATCTTAACCCACCGAGGGCAATGCTTAGCTTCCAAGAGCAGAGAAAGAAAGGAAGGAAAAAACATACCGCAACAAATATGAAATGCAATATAAAGGAGGTCAGGCCTGATTTTTAACTTTAAAATCACATGTGAGATGTGGACCGTCGGATTTTTATTTTTTTAAAATAAATTAAAATAAAAAAGATTCCTTCTTCTTTTCGGGGGGTTTTACTGGATGGTCCGGTCTAGAACCGGCTGTTGCCTGTTTGTGACCACGTGCCTCACCGAACTGTTAGATTGGTGTGGGGTTGGCGGGTGACACGTGGCGAGGCACGTGATCATTTTTTTAAAAATTTATTTATGGAAATTAAACGTGAGCTTTTTCTGCACGAGTGAACGTTTCACGAGAGAAAATAAAGGTTACGGTGCAGAAGATTCTCTATTGGACATTGCCTTTGGCGCCTTATCCGTCAGGTGCGGCGACGCTAGTAAATGAATGGCCAATCAACTTCTGAAGATCTAGTCACAAAGCGCCACGTGGTGAAAGGGTTTTTTCCTTTGACGAAATCAAAATAAAAAACATTTTTTGTTGTATTCTTTTTATTTAATATCAGGCATAATTTGGATCAGATCTTTCAATTAACCAATTACAAATCTTATCACATAAAATTAGTAAACAAAGTTTTGATGCTTTATAAAATTATTATTTTATTTATTGATATTAATGAAGTAGTTAAAGAGAGTTAAACGGTGGTTAAATGTTTAATTAATTTTCATAAATATGCTCTAATCTAATAAGACATTTATGGATATTTTACAACGCTTGTGAAATTTTATTGCGTAACGTTGATGAAGGTGCAGGGGGTTTTATTAATTAAAAATAATAAGGCGCTTTCAGCACGAATGCTTTAAAATAATCTTTGGTTTTGTTGTTTGTGATCAGCCAATTCATTTACAAAATGGTCAAAGGATTGAAAGTGGTAACTCACGAGGTGATGATAGAGATAATTAAGGAACACAAAGCCCTCAACCCATCACTATTCAGCATTGACCAAGCATCCATTTTCCATACTTCCTTTTTGGGGATAATTTTAGGATAATGCCAATTTCAATGTTTAAAAAAAATTTAAATTATTTAAAGAAATTTATATAACTTTTTAGTTTTAATTAAATAAATTTTTATAATTAATTATTAATTAATTAAAATATCACTTTTCATGTCATGCTTATATAACGCTGATGAAAAATATTATATGATAATGTTATTATATCGCGTCATTATCCGTTGTGACTTGTCAAGATGTCAATGTTAAGTTACATAAAAAATTTATATGTGACATTTTAATTAAGTCAATTGTGAGTCATAAGTATTTATTTGGTAAAAAATAAAATGACAATGACTTTATTAATTAAAAATAAAAATATTTTATTTAATTTTTTAAAATAATTTATATATTTTTAAAATTATTATATCTAAAAATATTTAACACTCATCGTTTTGAAATGCCATACCAAGCATTATTTGCAAAATCAACATCCATATTTTAAAAGCCATACCACACATTGTTCGTAAAATCAACATCCATGGCTTACAAGCCATGATAAGGTTATGCAACCTACCAATATCTTTTTAAAGTAGAAAAAGCATCATGTTCATCTACGCATCAACATGCTATCGGGGTGGATTCAAAATTTTTTTTAAATAATGTTATAATTAAAAATATATAAAAAATGTTAAAATTTATAAATTAAAATTTTTAACATTAAATTAAAATAATATAAATTTAATACATTTATTTAATACAAGAAAAAATATTTAAAATAACTGTAATTGTCTATGACGATTTTTTATATTTTGAAAACGGTGTATGATAATATCAATAGAAACATTATCAAACATATATTTTTCAATATATATCAATAAATAATCATTCGTCCACTTATCATTCATTCGGACTTGAATTTTTTTTTATAAGAAAAGTGAAAATCACAATCAAGGATAAATAAGAAGAAGCGTCATTATGAGTGTCAAGAGTAGAATGAGAAAGAAGAATAGTTTAGGTTTTGATTTTTTTAATAAAATCTTAAATTATAAATTTTTTTTTATCTTTTCATGTAATATTTAAATATTAATATATAAATTATTTTTTAATAATTTACTTTAACTTGAAATCTTTGACCTTATTCGTTAGAAAATTGTAAAAAAATTAATAAGTTCATTAGTATTATTAACTACATAAAACTTAATAAAATTCTATAAAGTTGTATAAAAAGCAAAAAAATTTTGCTAAATGAGTGGTGTCATGTGACACCACTATCCTCTATGTGAGTTTGCCCGTGCATGCGTATCATATAATATAAAATAATAAGTGACATTTTGATTAACAACAGATAATTAATTATTAATTATAAAAATTTATTTTATTTAAAGTAAAAACAAAAAAGTATGATTAAATATAATAAAAGAATAAAATCTCATTTAAAAATTTTAAAATAATTTAATAATATTTTAAATATTATACTTTAATAAAACCAAAATTAAAAACCTTAGGCCTTAGGATATTTTGCATATTCTGTAGTGGACAATTGTAATGCTTTCCATTTTTTGGAAAGATAGTGCTAAATGCCTATGGATTAAAGTGGGCAACTATAATCCAATCATTGCATGCCCTGTGATGCCCACAATTTCTTCTCTTTTACCAAACAAGAAGCATTTCCAAACTCCAATCATCCAAGGCACCAAATGAATGACAACCATGTACTTCTTGCCCCCATCACTCAAGTGTGCAATCTTTTTCAAATTCAGATTATATATATTAAATTAAATTTAAAATATTTTATATTTGTCTTTTCTATATTAAATTAATTTTTTTAATTATATCAAAACATGTACAAAGATAACATTATAATACATTCAAAAATAAAAAATATATATACTATCTAAAATAGTTCCTAAAGCAATTTTAAAAAATTTAAATACATTTTTATATATTTTTTATACTTAATTAAATTTTTATATTTTTATTTTGAATCAAATAAATTTTTATGATTTATAATTAATTAATTTTTATTAATTAAAATATTATTTATCATTTACTGACATGTTATAATGAATGATAATGTGACATGATAATATGATCATATGATATTTTTTTTCTTTATTTATGTGAGTATAAAATAATACGTGATATTTTTATTTAAAATAAAAATATATTTAATATAAAATAAAAATATAAAAATTTAATTAAATATAATAAAAAATAAAAAATTATTGTAAATAGTATTATGTAAAAGTAATTGTTAAATTTGGAGTTAATTCAAAAAGGATACATGCGATTTCCCGCGAATGAGATTCCAAGGCAGAAGGGATGAGGATGATGATGTACGCTCAGCTCCATCGGTAATTCCGTGAGCCTTTTAGATCAGCAAAACATCAACGGTATCACCGGTTTCAGTTTGATCAGAGAGAACAAGTAGGTCCCCCACTCACCACCGAGAGTCTTCACTTGCTTTCCAGATTCGATTCTGTAATAGAAAGGGGGGAGAAAAAAAAAATAGAGGCATAATAATTTGTATTTGAATTTTTGAAGGCTATGGTGATGGATGCGTCACAGTTAGCAGAGCTAAAGCTATTCGTTGATCAGTGCAAATCAAACCCTTCAATTCTCCACAACCCATCTCTTTCCTTCTTCAAATCCTACCTCCAAAGGTAATCTTTTTCTTAGCTTTTTTTTTTTGTTAAAGCTTTTCTGATTCTTTAATGGGGAGTCGATATGTGTTTTCATTTCTGGTTTTTGCAGTCTGGGAGCTCGAATTCCATCCGGCCCACAAACGGTGAGATTCGATTTATTTACAAAAGCTTCAATTTTTGATTCCTTTTTGCTGTTTGTTTTCTTTATCTAAGAATTGCGAGATTTGTTTTAGTTGGTGGAGCTTGGCGGTGAACTGGGTTTGTTTCTTTTCAATCAAGCTAGTGTTTTAAGTAAATTTCTTGTCTGATTGCTCCACGTCTTGGAGACGGAGTGTTTCTCTATTTCATTATGGTCTTGCTATTTCTATGATTTTAAGAGAAGATATTGGAAAATTATATGCCAAACAAGGCTGAGATTTTCTAGAGGGATGGTGGTGGAAAGTAAGTATATTTGGTTCATTAGCTTCATCTTTTATTGCAATTTGCAGGATAAAAGTGGTGTTAACATGGCAGAGCCCGGGCAACACTCTGATTCCAAAAACCCCAATTTTTCATATGAAGAAGATGATGATATTGTTGAGTCTGATGTTGAGTTAGATAACACCGGTGTGGTGGAACCTGACAATGATCCTCCACAAAAGGTGCGTGAGCCTAGGAAATATATGATTTCATTTATGTTTGATGTATTCTTCGGTTTGGTAGACCTGTGATAGCCTTTTACACTAAACTAGTAAATGTTGCATCTTTTAATTCAGATGGGAGACCCTTCAGTTGAAGTTACAGAGGATATGCAGGATGCTGCGCAAAGTGAAAAATTAAAAGCTAATGATGCAATATCTGAAGGCATGGTGTCATTGCTTGTAATGACTAGCCTTTTGAATTGACGTTTTGTTGATAATTTCTTTCTGAATTCTCCGTTTTTCTCCCCCTCAGGTAAGCTGGATGAAGCGATTAATTATCTAACAGAAGCTATCATGTTAAATCCCACTTACGCAATATTATACGCAACTAGAGGTAATTTTATTTACAGCATAAATTATCCTTAACTTACTTTTTTCTGTTTTTTTTTTCCTCACTACTGGATTATTCTCTTGAAAGTCTGAAATACTTGTTTTCAGGTAGTGTTTTCATTAAATTGAACAAACCAAATGCAGCAATTCTTGATGCTGATGCAGCTTTAGAGGTATCAGATTAAGGAGTCTCTAGATTTTTATTATATTTTTGTTCAGCATGATGGTGATGACCTGGAGTTCTTTACTTTTTATGTTAGATCAATCCTGACTCAGCAAAAGGATATAAAGTTCGAGGGATGGCAAGGGCCATGCTAGGCCGATGGGAAGAAGCAGCTAGTGATCTGCATGTAGCATCAAAGCTAGATTATGATGAGGAGATTGGTTCAGTACTCAAAAAAGTAATTTTTATGCCCTTTGACTAATATTCCTCTGCAAATGCCTTTTTGTTTTTTGTTTTTTTTACTGTAATGCACTTAATTTGCAGGTGGAACCTAACGCACACAAAATTGAAGAGCATCGCAGGAAATATGACCGCTTGAGGAAAGAAAGGGAATTAAAAAGGACTGAACGTCAGAGGCAACAGCCGAAAGCTGAAGCACAAGTAAGTGGAATTAATTAATATGATTATCTAATTATAAGGCACAAAGATTTTTCACTCTTTGCTTTGTGCATCAGCTTTGCCGTAGGTTCATTATGATTAAGGATTAAGTGCAATAAACATCTTATGAAAATAAAGTTTAGGATGCACCTACCACTTCAGCCTAGCGCTTTTCCAAATTTCTGCTATATTTTCTTGATCTAGGAAGATTACTATATAAAAGCAATTAGATATCTGTTCAAGAAGTCGGGTGTTCTAGTGCATTTAGACATGCCCAGCACAAGCTGATTCATTGATCAAGGGCATGGTGCATTTTGGTATTGTTAGATACGATTATGAGAGGAGCTTGTAATTGATCTTTTTTTGTGTCATTTTGTATGTGGTGGGTTGGGGCCAAGCGAATCAAATAACTCAACTGTTTTATTATCGGCACATACTCTCATCCATTGCTAACTTCTGTCTTATGTAAGAGTCATAGCCTTTATTCTGAAACTTATAACTTAATCTTTGAATTTGTGCAGGATCAGGAAGCATTTTCTGCTTTTAAAGATGGTATGGATGTTGTTATCTTCTGTCATTCATTTTTCTTGTGGTATATGATCTATATAGGACTTTGCCTTTACTGTAGCATTCTTTACAGAGAATGTTATCTTTAACGAACTGAGACTAACTAAGCATCTTTGAGAAGGCTACTCTTGTGTCTAGAAGAGGCTATTATGTTTCTGTTAGGAATCCCAAGTGAAGGGCCTTAGATTTCATTACTATAATCTTTATAGAAAAAGCTTATACTGTGAAGTTTTGTCTTTGCTTTAGTTACCTCTGGTTAACCATAATCATCACTCTGATGATTGAACTGAGTATGTTTAATAACTCATCAATAGATTGGTTAGATAGTTCTTTTCCTCTTTAGAAGTGGCTAAGAGTATATGTTTTTCATCAACGAAGAAGATGCCCTTTGTAATGAATTGGACATTAAGGCGTCAGGTTAATTGAATTTTGGTGTCCAGGGTTATTTTGATAATCTTCTGTTTTCTAGCAAGCATTAACTTAATGATCATTGGGTTTCATTTTGTGTTTGGTTGAGTTTTTAGGGTTTAAAAAAATCCTTGGTTGATATCAGTTGAGTTTTGTTCATATGCCCAGTGGTTTCAAGAATCCTACTGGAGAAGTAAAAGGTAATATTTGCCTACTTCACTCCTTCTTTTGCCAGACTTGTTAGAGTTGAATTTTTTAGAGGACTTGAAACTAGACAGAGTTCTGTGGAAATTTATGATTGCTGATTGACAATGGCATCTCTTCTTTTTTCAGTTTTACCTCTTGACTTCTACAGTGCATCGGGTTACTGTTCACAGCAGAAGAAGAGAACCTGTAGACTTGTTCTCTTCTAATTCAGCTGCTGCCAAAAAATTCCACCAACTTTTTCTGGACATTTTCACATTTTCAGCCCTCTTTGAAGATTCAATGTTAGTTGAATCATACCGTAACCCTTTCTAATCATAGGCTTATATCCTAAAGTCTTTAATTCCCTTGCCTAGCCCACCATAAACCCTATGCAGGCAGACTTCGCCATATCTGTTCTAAATCATTTAGCTTACTTGGTTAAACTTGTTTTGAATAACATTTAACCGAAACTACTGTTTTTTCTGATGGATTATGATGGTTTCGCAATGGCAAGGATTATAAGCTCTTTTATCTGCAAAAAGAATGAGGTGAAGAAGAGAGAAACCTAGATTAGAGGATCAAAAAATCTTTGGGTACTGTAACGTATGAAAAACCTTCTTTGAGTTTAAAGTAACGTAGATGTTAAGCACAAAAGTAAAACACGGAAGTTTTTAGGGACTTATTGTTAAGGATCTGGCTGCCATTGGGGGAATTAATGTGATATTATAGAATGTGCAGTAGGTGTGTCCCATCCAGGGCAAGTGCTTGTCAACGTAGGACGTGAATCTCCTTTTATGAAGACGGTAAGCAGTAAGCACTAAGCAGGTTTCTTGTGGGCAACCAATAGGGCCAAAACTTGAGCTTCCCAGTGGAACATCTAGGGTAGTTTTTGTGCACATATTTAGATTGCTGTTTGACACTCTACTCTTTGTTTTTTTTTTTTTTTTTCTGTTCATTATTAATTAAGTCAATTCTAGACAAATATGGCTATATTTAATTCTTTAAACATTAGAATTTAGTATGAATGCCACTAGCTTGTATATTCAGCCTTGGGATAGCTTTCGAAGGATTGTTTTAAAGTTTCCTTATCAAAAAAGTAAGTTAGCACAACTCTTTGCAAAGTCATGAGCCCCACTTCGTTTGCCTTAATAGGTGGTGTATAAAAGAATAAAAGAAAAACCAACAACAGTCTGCAAAGCATCTGTAAATTTATAATTTTTAAGAGTCAAAGGAGTGTAATACCTTGCTTAATGAATTGCATCTTTATAAACATCGTAAAATGAATTTTTTCAACTTTGCCATATTGTTGCGTACAGTGATCTAACTACAGGGGTGATCTTATTACTACTGTAATGTGATCGCTAGTGATTTAAGATCACACCATGTTTGGTTTAATTTTACTTGATAGTCATTAATAACTGAGGTTTAGAGATCACCATGTTTGATATCATATAAAACAGACATCATTTTGTATGAAACAGCAATGTAACTATGTTCCAAAAGTTAATAAATAAATCATTTTAATATTTTGTTAGTGGAAGAATTTGTGAAATACTAATATTCTATTTGTCAAATAAGTTATAATTGATCAAATCAGTAAACAAATATGAAAATATATTTATCTTTGATAAGGTAAAATATATTTCTATTTGATAAACTAACTCTTAACTTTTTAAATTAAATGAAAAACCTTTGAACAGGAAAATAAAATTTTAATTTCTCAAAATAATAATGATTTGCTACCAAAACAAAGATTATACACATAACCAAAGAAAAAAATTGTGGGGAGAAATATTTAGTACCCTTTAAGTTAGCTACTAAAATATTTTTGGAAGAGTAATAAGTTACCGTGTAAAGATTAATTTATTTTTTAAAGGAAGTTCTTTTATTCATACATTAAAAGGGTAAAATTGTTGGTGACCAAAAAAAAAGGGTAAAATTGTTCATAATTGATTTTACAGATCACTACACCTCGATGAAAAATGTTTCTCACTCCTTAAGATGAGAATTAGATCATCCCTCAAGACAATGATCAAATCACCACGACATAGGATCATCAAATTCCTACTAAACACAATGAACTAATTATTGAATTTAAATCAGCATGGAGTTTTTGACATGATCATCCCAAACCACACCACCTATATGAAACTAGGGACAATGATCTTTGAATGTCCGTTTCAATAAAAGTTTTAGTTCTCAGAATGACAAGATCAATCCTTGGGGACAATTTGAGTAGAGTGCAGACTGGAATTAGCAAGAAATCCTCTCAAAATACTTCTTGTGAAAATAAATGAAGACTTTTTCTTCTAGTTCTCGTTGCCATGGTTTTATTTTTCTTTTAAATTGGTAGAATGACATCCATGTTGATCTTTCAATAGTTGCTTTCATATAATTCTTGACTTTTAGGTCATAATAATTTATGGGACAGTTATTAGGATCATTCTTTTCATGCTTATGTGAATTATGTTAGTGGTAGTTCTAGGACAAGTATCCATGTATGTTACCTCAATATGCTTTTTGAAATTAACAGGGCAGGTTATTGGCATTCACTCCACTGGTGAGCTGGAAACTAGGTTGAATGCTGCTACAAGAGCATCTCGCCTGGTCATATTGTACTTCACTGCAGCATGGTGTGGTCCCTGTCGCTTCATTTCTCCACTTTATACAAGTTTAGCTGCAAAATATGCGAAAGTAGTGTTCTTAAAAGTTGATATAGATGAGGCAAGTGATGTGGCTGGCTGCTGGAAGATTAGCAGTGTTCCTACCTTTGTCTTTGTAAGAAATGGAAAGGAAGTCGACAAGGTTGTAGGGGCTGACAAAACTGCACTCGAAAGGAAAATTGCCCAATATGCAGGCTGATGTTTAGCCTATCAATTGAGGTAGATTCCAGCCAATTCTACTCACTTTTTACAAGCATGTTTGAACATGTCAACAGTGTTAAGACATGAGCAATATCTTAGGAAATCTGTACCATATATCTTAATAAAAATGACCTGCTGGAGCTAAGCGTTTTTTACCCAAATTTGATAATATAATACTACTGTAACTCTAATGGATCATTTGTATCAGAAATTTCATGAAAAAAGGATAATTACCGATCATAGTATCATTGTAGAAGAAGAGCTGTGGTAAGGTTTATCGTAGCAAGTAAAATAGCGTAAGATCAACTCCGACCTTGATTGGATTGTGTCCTTAAGAGCGTGTTTGAGAGTTAGAAGTAAGCTAAGATATCTTGATCTATGATTAATGCTAGGAACTACATGTTTATAGTGTCTCTTGATGCCAGCATCGATCCTGTCATTGGGGGAAATGCTAGTATTATATTCTAGTTTTATGACATTTTCCCTCCCCAACTTGCTTTTTGAACTGGGTGCCCATGCCTAGCCTGGTTGGTTCTTGGGCAATCTAATCCAGGCTTTGTTTATTTATTGATGCAAAACAGGATCGGTGTGGAAACTCCAGCTTCAGGTTGGTATACTTGTATGTGAATTAGTCTTGAGTGAAGGCACACAATTAAGAAACGGCAACGTAGCAAAGCTATTGACCCCGATACTTAATAATTTCCTAAAACCGAGGAGGATGTTAAAGTCCCAGTCCCAGTCCCAGTCCCAGCATGATAATAATATGCCATAGAAATTAACAAATAGTATTTTGATTAATAATTATTAATCAATTATTAGTTAAAAAAGATTATTTGACATAAAATAAAAGTATAAGGATTTAATTGAATTTAAGAAAAAAATAAGAATTTATTTTAATTTTTTTAAATAGTTTACGGGCTTTTTTAGATAGATTATATGTTCAATTTGAAACCAAAACTTTTGAGTTTTTTTTTTTCAATTTATAATCCATCATTTCAATTGTAACAATTAAGGGTCAAACGTTTTTGGTTCTTTACAATTAAGGATTAAGATGAAAGGTGTCTAGTGCATGTTAGACACGCTCATGATATGAACATTGATTTGGAAGGATAAGATATAGACGAGCAGTGTTGTTGAAAAGTTTTTTTTATCAAGTCAAAACTGTTCAAATTATGAGGTAATGTGTAACAATTTTTTCATCATGGTATGTAATAATTAAATTTTTAAACATAACATGTAACAAATAAATTTTTATAACAAATAAATTTTTAACATGTGTAACAACTACATTTTTTCTTACGTGTGATACACGCTGCATTAACTTGTCAACTTAACTCTTAATTACGAGGAATCAAAAATATTTTACCTTTAATTATTACAATTGAAACGTTTGGTTCTTAATTAAAAAAATGCTCAAAGGTTTAGCTCCAATTTGAACAGTTAACCTTTTATATATTACACTTACAAATTACAATCAAATAATTTTAAATAAACATGAATCAAATAAAATGAAGTTAAAGACAAAACTTTTATATGTATATATGGGGAGATTTGAATGTAAATTTGATAGGGTTTCATATATTTTTGCTTGTCAGGAGCTTATATGAGGTTGACCAATTCTCACAATTTGGTCAATGGATTGTCTGATGCTGCCACAACCTGCGGTTCATTTATTTTTTATTTTCTTAAATTTTATGACTCCAAATAAATGGGAGGAAAATATGTGGTTTTGCTAGTGCTTTTAACAGTGTGTTCATGCATTAGCAACGAAGAGAGAATTTAAGTGACAAACGTGGAAATCCTAGAGATACAATCCAAGAGTTGGATCATTTTCTCTCATTCTTGGAATAAAATCTGAGAATCAGGTAGAAGAAGAGCCTGTAGAGGACTCCCCAAGCTAGCAAGATAAGAATGTCGTACCAAAGGTTCTCCAATTTAATGCCCATTGAGGATAGAACATCTTCTCCAATCATTATGCAGTTTTTAAGACCCGGGTTGCTTTTATGCAGATCACTGAGCTTTAACTCCCCTAGAGGGCCTGGTGAAAGATCCGATGGGTTCCCCGAATAGCAGATATCCTTGTCTTTGAACTCATTCACTAACAATGCCTCGAATGGATATTTGATTGCTGAAATGTAGTGGAGCCACCTCCAAGCACTGGGTATCTTACTTCCTTTGAGGAAAAAGCCACAAGTCAGGAAGAAAAGTGCTGTTGTGGCAATTACAACAGCATAACCTGTGATATAACTGGGGACAAGTGCACTGACAAGCATCACATAACCATTGGTTGTTATCAGAGAGGCATAAAGGATCAGCCAGAAGTTTAAGAGGCTGCTTTTCAGGTCAAGCCAATATTTGGTGATTGCAGCAAATGTGAAACCTTGAATAGCAAAAAATGGGAGATAGACTATTAGGGAGGAGACGACATAAGATGAAGCACGGTAGGCATTGTGGGAGGTCTCCCGAATGAAGATGAATCTTTCTTGAATGAACGTTGGGACAGCATCGTTAGAGGAGAAGAACACTAAGCAAATTGCAAAGATGTAGAAATTGAGAAGCCGGTTCACTGTTTGGAAATCATAGTGACTCAAGTTCCTGAAGAGTGAGGATAGAATGATTGCCATGACTGTCAACACTATCTCACGTGAAAGGAAGAGTTCTGGAGTTCGAACCACATTAAGAGCTGTGCGCCATGACAGAACTGCAATCTCTCGGAGCCATGGATTTGCAAACTTGGGTCCATGCTCTGGTTCATCTAGCACTTCTTCATCCATATCGAACTCTTCATAAGAAGAAGCGTACGGGTCTAGAGATGGGCTTAAAACTACCGGGGCTTTGTGGCGAGAAGGTGGTTGTTGAGGCGTTGGATATCGGCCTGAAACATAACTTCTTGCTCCAGAACTTGGCGTTTTAGCAGGTGTTTGTCCCGGAGTTCTAGCTGGAGTCCACGATGGTGTACGACGAGCAGTTCCAGTGACACCACGGTAGACCCACATCGAGAAATCTTTGTAGAAATGAGATGCCAATCGTGGATTATAGACACCACTCTGCATACTCATTGGTGTCTGGGACCTCTGGGCAGCTCTTCGTTGCAGAGAGTAGTCAAATTCATCCTCATCTTCTTCATCATCATCAGCGTAATCAAATTGGCCAGACTCTGATCGAGATGTTCCATGGCCAATAGAGAAAGCATGGCTATGAAGGCTAATAGCGTGCCTGGATCCAGGCGTTTTCATGTAGGGAGTCCTTGGTGTTTTTGGATCTGGAGTCCTGGCAGCTTGATCAGGTTTGATACCATCACGTTGGTACAGCACAATAGGGTCAAGTCCCACGGTTGATTCATCGTACTCCTTGATAACATCTAGAAGATATTCCACACTGTTCTCACCATCAGGAACTGGCCTGCCGAATCCAGAAAGGTGAGCAGGGAGAGAGCCTAGGCTTCCTATATATACAAGTCTACCCCTGTGACATTTTGATATATATAGCTTAATCAGTTGTAAAGATCAACTTCAATTAATCTTGAGGCATGGCATCTGATAGACTGGGTGCTCGAACGTTTTAGATGAAATATGACCATGCGTTCTAAACATTTTTGTGTGTTCTTGACCAAGACTTTGTATGATAAGGAGTTACTTTGTACCTTGCTAGAACGGTTATGCGGTCTAAGAGCAATTGAATTCTGTAGGAAGGTTGGTGGATGGTCAGGAGGACGATGCTGCCTCCTCGAGCGATTTCCTTCACCTTTTCCACCACGCTGTAAGCACTTGTGGAGTCAAGACCTGATGTTGGTTCATCGAGGAACAGTAGAGATGGCTTATGAATAATATCGATGCCAATAGACACCCTCCGCCGCTCTCCTCCGGACACCCCTCTCCTTCCTTCATCACCGATGTACGTATGCGCTGCGCTCTGCATGTGTTAGAAAGTGTTTTAGTATTTGTGTTTGTAATCAAATAAAGGCATGCAGAAGATACTTTTGTCTTACCTCTAGGCCTAGCTGATCAAGCAGCTCAGTCACTCGCTTTTTCTTCTCCTCCCTGGAAATGGAGGGAGGGAGCCTCACTTCTGCTGCAAACATAAAGGTTTCGTGAACCGTCAACATGGGAAACAGCTGGTCATCTTGCAACACATATGATGAAATCATCTTCATGTAGCTTGCAGTCACCTGAACAAGTAATACAGTACTGAGAAAAGAGATGAGTATAAATTTGATTAAGATGATAAACATAGACTGACCGGCTTTCCATCGATTCTAACAGAACCTTCAAGACTTCCTTGTGCAATCCGACCTGCCAAGCCATCAAGAAACGTGGATTTTCCAGCACCACTAGGCCCCATGATGGCCATGATCTCGCCCCTCATAGCCTGCCCCGATATATCATTGAGAAGATAGGCCTCTTTCTTGATCCATACTCCATCTTTCTTTTGTTTCTTCATGACACTGTAAGAGAGGTTACTGAACTCAAGGCCGTGGCCTGGAATCGCCTTCTGGACCGGCACAGGTGGCACCCTGTTGTTCTTGCCGACAGCTGCTACTGATTTGTCTATGTCTAAAAGACTCTCAAGGGTTCTATTCACGTTATTCCGGCCTGGCTTCCCCATTGAATCAACGGTTAGCAAGCACTTATTTTGGCCTTGGCCTAAGTTACCGAGTTAAGGGTGCCTGAGGCTTTAAGAGCTGGTGATGAGAGTAAGACTAAGACTGTAGACAAAAGGGTGAGGGTTACAAGTGAGCCGGAGATGTGTAACGAAGATTGTAGACAAAAGGAAAAACAACGACGAAATAGACGGTAACACTAATGCAAACTTGAGCTAGCCCTCTCTCTTTTCTCCTTTGGGCTTCTCGTTATTTTGCCTTGATGTTACCGGGAGGCTGCTGTGGCTTTGTTCTCTTGTGCAACTACAGACAAAACACTTGTTAATTCCTTTCAGCTCTTTTCCTCCCTTGTTGGATGATAGACAAGTATTAGTATTAATACACAAGTGTACTTTTTGTTCATTCATGTGCTCATAGTTGGATCTTTTCACATCTTTTATATCAAATTTATCCTTCATTCAAATTAAGAAAAAACAAATACTTTCTTCACATTGTGAATGAAATATTATTCATATATATATATATATATATATATAATTAACATTTAAACTACTCATTTCATCGCATTTTTTTTATCTCTTTTTCTTTTTTGAGATGTTATGGAAAGAAGTCATCTTTTTAAAATTTTTTAAACATTTAATACACTTATTTTTTTTATTCTAAATTGATTTTTCAATATTTTTTAAATTTTGACAATAGAAAGTATTGTATATCAATATTATAAAACATTCTTGGACTTATAATATAAAAACCAAAAAATAAAAATAAAAAAATTTCGTAATATTCATGAAAGTCAAACAAAGACAAACGTATTAAAACAAAAAAGAATTGATTGAAAAAGTTAAATTATTATAACATGAGTAAGATAAAAGAACTACTAGAAAATTTATACATGGTAATACAAAAAAAAATAATTTGACTCTTAGTGGTATAAAAGTTTTAATTTTTGGAGAAAAAAAATTGTATTTATAAAAAGTTACAACTATTTGATTAAGTGTCTGTCAGGTTTGATTTTTCTTTTTAATTTATTTACTTTTTAAAAGTAAAAGTCGGACCTTAATTAAATTGTATTTATAAAAAGTTACAATTATTTAATTAAGTAGCTTCCTTTTTTTTTATGAATACAAAATACGGATTCGGCTCTTCTTTATTAGTTTTCAATCAATTACCTTTTTAATATATTTTTAATCGCCATTTACAGGTATAACTTTCACAACTTATAGAAAACAATGGATTGAAAAGTAATGAAGCATTGAACAAGCCAAGCTACCCCATCACATGATTTTTATCCTTATTTTGCCTTTATTCAAATTACAAAAATCTCAAATTAAAATATGAAAGAGGAAGGGAACACAAGAATTTTTTTTTGAAAAAGTGTATATCTTATACCGTTTGTAGACATTTTCCTTATAGCAGCATATCCACGTCTAAAATCGGATAAATCGAGGATTCGTTGGTCACATAACTTAAGGATAAGTTAAGGTATTCTAATCGATTCTAAACTCTCAAACGTTTTTTTGGTAACACGATTTAGTCAATGTTTAATTTTTATAAATTATGTTGTCGTGTTACAATAATAAAATTATGAAATATTGACTTTTAATGTTAATTCATTGCAGTGATATACGGTGATATGTAATTAATTTCATAAGTTTCTAATACAAAGGATCTAGGACTTAAAATTTTCACTAACATCAAAAGTAAAATTGAAGTCAAATTATGATAAATTTATACATATATATACATATATATGTATATAAATGGCATAATTCTTAAAAAAATTTGAATTATTTAAGAAAATTTAAATAATTTTTTATTTTTTATTATGTTTAATCAAATTCTTATACTTTTATTTTGATATATTATAAGCTCAAATATGATAAGTATTCAACAATATATGACTGAAATATGAAACATATACTGAAATTTGACATACTTTGAATATTTTTTGCATATCTTCTTAGTGAAACCAATTTCATTTGAAGTGAGACTTTCTAAGCTTTTCAGCACAAAAAGAACACAATTTGGACATCAGATCATAAAGTTATGGTCATCGGGAATTTGGCCCAAGAAGTTGGAAAGGGGATATTGAATGATCTTCCTTATTTTTGGCCAAATTTCTTTATTTATTTTTAATTTTTGACACTTATCCCCCTAAAATGATAATGATATCTCTTAAATGATTTTTTAAGAAATAAATATCTAAAATAAATCATAAATCTTAGTTGTTCTCCATAATAAATCTCCCCCATCCATTTTACCCTATATACACCATATGAATCCTCTCCACTTCTAATTTTTTTCACACCTCAAGTAATTCTCTCCCCTTTCCCTCTAGTGCGCTCCTTTCCACTCAAAGCCCTAAGATCCTTTAAGATCAACGACAATATCCCAAGAGTGTTATTCTAGACTCAAATCCACTCTAGCCTTAGAGAAAAAACCAAGCCCCATTTTAGAAAGTTTAGAAGAGTCCAGACAAGTTCGAAAAATCCAAACTCTAGTCATACCAATCAAATATTTGGCCTACATCAATCCAACTTTAGCCCACAACTCACATCAACCTAAATTCTTGAACCTAGGTCCAAGAGAATTCATCTTGAACCTATCCATATGGTCATTTATCATGTAGATGCACTAGTATGCACAACAAAATGCTAGGATTAGGGTTAGCATCACAATGTAATGCCATATAGACATGTAAGATTACCATGTTGGAGTATGTCATATAAAATGGTTGATTATGATTTTTAGTTAAAGAAGCTTGTGACATACACTCAAGAAGGGGGAGGGGGGTGAATTGGATTTTTAAGCTTAAACTATCACCTTTCCCTCAAGAGTAGACGAAGCAAACAACTTTAAACACAAATCCAAAGAATAAAGGTTGGCAAGAATGAACACAACAATTAACAAATGAAAGGAAAAGAGAAAAGACATTTAGCCATTATTTTTACAGGGGTTTGGCATTCACAATGCCTATGCCCTCTGCTTTGATATCATAAGGAGTTTGAATTCACTAAATCATTGTCTTTTTTAAATAGGTTTAGGCATAATGTTTACTATTACTACCTTTTCAAGGGTAAAGCATAACCCATCACTAATCATTGTCTTTTCAAGATTAAAGCACAACCTTTCTATCTTTTGCAAGGGACGTATAACCAAACTTTCTTTTCAAGACCCAAGTATAACCTATCTACCTTTTAAAGAAGGTATAACCTTTATAACAGTAAATTACAAGAATGTAGTGCCTCTAGCTAGATTGATCGAGGCTTTTAGTATAAGGGAATGAAGTAAAGATCAAAGAACTTAAACTCTTGGCTGATGCTATGTTTTTGAAAGAGTTTGTTGAGTGAGAAGGATATGAACTTGAGAAATGAAGCTTTTCTCTTCTCTTGAAATGAAGCATTTTTTCTTTTCTTTTTCTTAGTTCTTTCTCATTCCTAGAATGAAGCTTTTGGTTGTTTATGTAGCCTCTCACACAATCTAATGGTTTGAGAAAAAAGAGATTTCAAATTTCAAATCATTGGGGTTATTTTAGTCAACTTGTCAATCATTAGGAATCGAGCATTGCCCAATTGAGAAGTTAATTCTTTATATTTTAACTTTAGGCCTAACGCTCTCTGTTCCTCAAAAATTGAACATTCATCCATCAAGGAGTTGATTCTTCTTATCCTTCTTCAAGATTGAAACATTTTGTTTCACAGAATTGAATATTCATTTTCTGAGAAGTCAATTTTTCATGGCTTTTAAGCGTTGTCTTGAGTTTTGAATTTTGATTTTCTTGCTCAAATTCCTCATTTTTTTTCTTTGCCAACTACTTTCTCTCTCTTCTTTGGCTTTCTTAACAAGTTTCCAATTTTTCTCTTTTTGACTTTCAAGAATCGATCTTAGGAAACTTGAAAAGTCGATTCTTATGGCTCAATTCTTCTTCCTTATGCTTTTGTCTTCACAGGAATAGAGTTGTTGACTTTCGAGTGCTCAATTCTTTTGATTCAATGGTTTTTTATTTTTTGAGAATCAATGGTCCACTCTTTGACAAGTTGATTCTTTCTTATTGCAAATAAGAAATGTAGCTTGCTAACTTTCCAAGAATCAACACTTCACTTTCAGAAGTTGATTCTTCTTTGCTAGAAATCATTTTTAAAGCATTTGAACAATTTTTATCTTTCATAATCATCTTTAAAAACTTTTGGGGTAAAGTTCTTTCATTTCAAAAATGTTTCTTTTAAGTTCACAATTAAATTCAAATCATCGAGTTTTATCATTTCAAAACTCAGGGTAATTTCAAAGCTAACAATCTCCCTTTTTTCGATATGACAAAACCAAAGGCTAGATTTGCAAAAAGCTCTCCTGAATTTGTGCTTAGTTCTCAATTTAAAGAAAATTTTAAAAGCAACATTGCAGCAAAGATTTTTTACTTCTTAACTTAAAAAAAAATTTCAAAAGCACCATTGTAGCAAAGATTTTCAGAAAGCATGAAAGCATAGCAAATTTATCCACTTCTCCCCATTTTTGTTATATCACAAAGAGTGTAAGAATAGGGGATTCAATTTTAAAGCTTAAAAGGTAGCATATCATTACTAGCACTGTTAGTAGACAAGCAGTAATGCATTATAGAAGTTAACTCAAGAAAAAAAGAATGAGTAACACATAAATTCTTCATTGATCATCCTAAATCAAGTATAGAACAAACGATAAAGGTAGAATAAATGATGATGCATATGATGCATGTAACATCCCATCCCGGGATGCTAATTTAATGTAAATATGTTAGCCAATTAAGGTGAACTATGGGTGTTGATAATATGAGAAGATATGTGGAAGTGAAAATGATGATGGGAAAATAAAATAATATGTTAATAATAAATAAAAAATAATGATATAAATAATAAAATAATATTAATGGATTAATGGAGGTGACAAAAGACGACATAATATTGAAAGACGATTTGCAGGAGTTAGGTTTGACCGAAATGGGAAAGAGAAAAATTTTAAAAGAAATGGAGTA